TTTAAATTTTATTTATTTATGTGTGGGTGGGTGTATGTGTATGCATATATGTATGTATGCATTTGCATGCTGATGTGCATCCATGTGTGTGCATATGCACATGGAAGCCCATGGTTGATATCAGGTGTCTTTCCTCAGTCTCTCACTGAACCCAAAGCTCATCTGTTTGACTAGAATGGCTAGCTGTGAGCTTCAGGGTCTCTCCTGTCTCTGCCTGGCCCTGCAGCAAGGCCAGGGTTACATGCTGCCATGTCTGCCCTTGTTGGGGTGGGGGAGGGGGGCTGTGTGCATGCATGGCTGTGCATCATATCTACGCAGTGCCCTGAAGGTGGGAAGATGTTGAGTCCTATGGAACTGGAGTTATAGATGGTTGTGAGGTACCATATGGATGCTGGGAACTGAACTTGGGTCTTCTGCAAGAACAAGTGCTCTTACACACTGTGCCGTCTCTCCAACCCCTACGCCCGGATCTTTACATAGATGCTGGAGCTCTGAACTCAGGTCTTCAGGTTTGTGCTGTGGGCACTTCAATGACTGAGGCATCTGCAGAGCCCTGTGTTTAAGCTTTCATCAATGTGGAAAGAGTACAAAACAGCTTAAAGTGACTTGTCAGTCAAACAACATCAGTAAAGTCAATATGCCTTTGCCACAATATGGGTTTGCATATATGCATGGATTTGCCTTTCTAATTAGCCTGGGGTCATTGAAAACATTTTAAGTACACAGTAAAATCCAATCTCCAAACATTTATTATAATAGCAAGTGTGTAAGAGGGCCCTTCTTGTTTAGAGAAACGTATTTTTTCTCTGAGCTCAAAACATCTCAATGAAACTTCAAAACATTGAAGTATAACAAGCCCTCAAAATATGCATGGTAAAATGAGTTGAGATGTTTTGCCTGATTTGGACAGAGCATCATGGTACAGATTGAAGTCCATAAGAGTAAACCAGTGTTAACAGTGCTGGCTCAATGCACATTTAAATGGTTCAAATATTTTCCTGAAAATAACTACTGATAAATGATACAAGTTCCCTTAGGCATTTCTACAGATGTCATGTGCTCTCTCAGCTAAGCCTGCTCTGTTGCCACCAGCTGTCACACATCTTAATGGAGACCCCTTCTAACCATCAATTGATGTTTTTTCTCAACCCTTCTCTTCCTCTTCATTTTGAAGCAAGGTCTTACTGTATCACTCAGGCTTGTATGAAACCACTGACTGAATCAACCCTCTTCTTCAGTTTTCCAATAGCTGGGATTACAGGCATTCAGCAGCATGCCAGGTCTTCAAGTGTGTGTGTGGTACTGGGAAAGGAAGTCAGGCTCCCACGTTCTTCACCAGCTGAGCCCCAGCCCCGGCCCCTCTTCAGCTTCTTTAAAAATACTCTCACCTGTTGTTGTTCCGTGGAAACTATTCATAGGAGCAAATGCTTCAGCCTACACTTCACAGTCTGCATGGACATCTAAGGGAACAGCTGGACATCAAAGTGGGTCTTGTGTTTAAAGGACTCGTCACCATTCTCAACGTGTGCCTGATATTTTCAAACAAGTTTTTTTCCTTCTGGATACATTTATTTGGCTCTTGCAATCAAATGTTTTCCTATGAACTTAAATATATCAGCAGCCTTCTTTCTTGGCTGGCAAATAGATGTTTGCAAACTCACTCTCAGAGGGGAGCTTGATCATTTTTAGGTTGTGTGTTTCTTTATGATGTGCATGTGTGTATATGTGTGTTTCTGTAAGATGTATATGTGTGCATTTCTGTGTGCTGTGCATGAGTGTTTGGTGTGCGTATGTTTGTGGTGTGTGTACATATGTGTGCATGAGTGTGGATATGTGTGTGTAGTATGCCTATGTGTGTGTAGTTAGTGTGCATGTTCATGTGTGTATGTGGTGGGCATGTGTGTATGATATATGTACGTGTGTGGTGTGCATGTTTGTGTGTGTGTGATTTGTGTACATGTGTATTGTGTGCACATGTGTGTGTGACTTGCATTTATGTGCATGTGGTATGTGTGCATGTATGCAAATATGTGTAGCTGTACTTGCTAGTATGGATGCACATGGAAACTAAAAGTGGTCAGTAGAGTCTCTTCCTCAGTCTCTTCTCACCTTATGTCTTGAGGCAGGATCTCTCATTGACAGAATCTGGAGGTTGCTCTTTCTGTGAGTCTGGCTGGCCAGTGAGCCGCCAGGGTCCACATGTCTTTGCTCCACCCTAGTGCTGGTGTTGCAGGCATGTGCTGCCACACCCAGGTTTTACTGGGTGCTGTGGATATGAACTCAAATCCACATGCTTGACCTGTTAGCTCGTGACTCCCGGAGCCATCTCCCCAGCCCTCATTTTTAGTTTTTCTGAGGAAATCCCACCATGACATGATCTTCGATGCTGATGTCTCCAAGACCCACTTGTCCAGCTATGACATCATTGCAAAAGAAGCACAAGCTCCTCTATGACATCCCATAACAATGCAGGCCATACTGGGGATGCTCTGTAAGCACAACAAAGCCTACTTTGGTCTCCTCTTGTTTTGAAGTGAAGGATACATTTTCTGCTCATTTTTTGTATCATACGTGGCACCCAAAATGCTGTTGGGTCCTTGTAACCACAATAGTCTCAGTGGCTATTACTGCACATAATCAAGTCAGGCACAATCCCAGCATGGATGGGGCATTCTCAAGTCCTGCCCATAGCTGAAAAGCTACTGGCAACTGGAGGCTGCTGGGACAGTTTTCTTCTTCAGGAATGTGGACCTGGGATGGAACCCATGCTCCAGGAGACTGTCCTACACTGTGCACATACAGCACTAAGGAGACTCAGTGGGCGTTAATGTCTTGAGTGGGGTGGGGTATGAAGTCTGGAGGAAAAAGTTGAGGTGATGAGGGAAGAACTGAGGGTGAGAGAGTGGGAAAGGAGACCAGATTCAAGCATGTGAAAGGCATCTATGAAGATTAAGTAAAACACTTAGTTTATCTGGTAGAAAGGCCTTTTTAAAAATTATTTAAATAGCCGGGCGGTGGTGGCGCATGCCTTTAATCCCAGCACTCGGGAGGCAGAGCCAGGCGGATCTCTGTGAGTTCGAGGCCAGCCTGGGCTACCAAGTGAGTTTCAGGAAAAGGCGCAAAGCTACACAGAGAAACCCTGTCTCGAAAAACCAAAAAAAAAAAAAAAAAAAAAAAAAAATTATTTAAATAGACCAATAACCCCTAAGGAAATAGAAACAAATTAAAAGTCTCCCCACCAAAAAAAAAAGCCCAGATGATATCAGTGCAGAATTCTACCAGATTTTCAAAGAAGAACTAATTCCAATACTCTTCAAATTGTTCCACACAATAGAAACAGAAGGAACATTACCAAACTCTTTTTATGAGGCTACAGTTACCCTGATACCCAAACCACACAAGATGCAAGGAAAAAAAGAATTACAGACCAATCTCCCTCATGAAATTGATGCAAAAATACTCAACAAAATATTGGCAAACCGAATCCAAGAACACATCAAAAAATTATCCACCATGACCAAGTAGGTTTTATCCCAGGGATGCAAGGATGGTTCAACATATGAAAATCTGTCAATGTAATACACCATATAAACAAACTGAAAGAAAAAAAAACATATGATCATCCCATCAGATGCTGAAAAAGCCTTTGATAAAATCCAACACCAAAGGTGTTAGATCAGGAATACAAGGAACATACCTAAACATAATAAAGGCAATTTACAGCAAGCCAACAGCCAACATCAAATAAACAGAGAGAAACTTAAAGCGATTCCACTAAAATCAGGAACAAGACAAGGCTGTGCACTCTCCCCATATTTATTCAATATAGTACTTGAAGGTCTAGCTAGAGCAATAAGACAAAAGGAGATCAAGGGGATACAAATTGTAAAGGAAGAAGTCAAACTTTCACTATTTGCAGATGATATGATAGTATACATAAATGACCCCAAAAATTCTACCAGGGAACTCCTACAGCTGATAAAGTCCTTCAGTAAAGTGGCAGGATACAAGATTAACTCAAAAAAAAACAATCAATAGCCCTCCTATACACAAATGATAAAAGGGATGAGAAAGAAATCAGAGAAGCATCACCCTTTACAATAGCCACAAATAATATAAAATACATTGGGATAACACTAACTAAACAAGTGAAGGACCTGTTTGATAAGAACTTTAAGTCTCTAAAGAAAGAAATTGATGAGGATATCAGAAAATGGAAGGATCTCCCATGCTCATGGATAGGTAGGATTAACATAGTAAAAATGGCAATCTTACCAAAAGCAATATACAGGTTCAATGCAATCCCCATCAAAATCCCAACACAATCCTTCACAGACTTGGAAAGAACAATACTCCACTTCATATGGAAAAACAAAAAACCCAGGATAGCTTAAAAAATCCTGTATAATAAAACAACCTCTGGAGGCATCACCATCCCTGACCTCAAGCTCTACTATAGAGCTATAGTAATAAAAACAGCTTGGTACTGGCATAAAAACCAACATACGGACCTGGAATCGATTGGAAGACCCTGATATTAATCCACACACATATGAATACCTGATATTTGACAAAGAAGCCAAAATTATACAATGGAAAAAAGAAAGTATCTTCAACAAATGGTGCTGGCATAACTGGATGTCAACATGTAAAAGATTACAAATAGATCCATATCTATCATGATGTACAAAACTCAAGTCCAAGTGGATCAAAGACCTTAACATAAATCCAGTTACTCTGAACTTGATGGAAGAGAAAGTAGGAAGTACTCTTGAACGCAGTGACACAGGAGATCACTTCCTAAATATAACACCAACAGCACAGACACTGAGAGCAACAATTAATAAATGGGACCTCTTGAAACTGAGAAGCTTTTATAGGGCAAAAGACACAGTCAATAAGACAAAAAGACACCCTACAGAACGGTAAAAGACCTTCACCAACCCCACATCTGACAGAGGACTGATCTCCAAAGTATATAAAGAACTCAAGAAACTAGACATCAAAATAATGTTGTGGCCAACATTATAAATATGGAATTATAAATTTAAAACATTTTCTGGTTTAAAAAATAAATCTGGTCGTCAATGCAGCTCTGCGGGTCTCTCTAGTAGGGCCGGTCTCTACGTTCCTGACGGTGCTCGCCTTTATCCATTTTCCCAGGTCCTCCACGTCCGCCTCTTCTTCCTCCCATCTGTTCCATCAATGGTCCAGGAGGCCCCCCAGGACCACCTCGTCTTCCTCCGCCAAAGCCACCACGGTCCATGCCACGGCCACCTCGGAAGCCACCTCTGTCTCCACCTCGGCCACCTCTGAACATTCCTCCAGGACCGCCATGGTCCATAAGTCCACCTCTTCCTCCTCGCATGCCACCAGGACCGCCTCGGCCACGATCACCACCCGGAGGTGGGAAGGGTGGCGGGAGGAAGCCCTCGGGCTTAGGGGCCTTACACTGGTTGCATTCTGTTCTCCAGGCGAAGTTCTGGTTTCCATAGCCCGGATTGGGACACTGCCAGTCTCCAGCTCGGTGCTGGACATTTCCTCCTCCAGAGGGGTTCCCTCGGGAGCCCCAGGGCCCCCTTGCGGGGAAGCCTCCTCTGTCTCCTCCACGGCCTCCCATTCGACCCATGGGTCCTCCAGGACCTCCTGGGCCACCAGGACCTCCACGAAGTGGTGGTGGCATTCCTCTGCCCTCACGAGGTGGCATGACACCCCTCATGCTGTTCATTGGAGGCTTCTTTCGGGCAAGAGAAACTTTAAGTTTGCTTCCTTGAAAATCCTTTCCATCAAACCACTCTACAGCAGCCTTGGCAGTTGGTGGGTCTTCATAGGACACTGTGGCGTCACCTTTAGGCTTTCCTGTCTCCTTATCCAGGTAGATGTGGATCATGGGTTGCCCAGTTCTCTTGTTCATCTTGACAACCCCACACTGCTTAAAGAAGTCTGCCAGATCATCCAGAGTCACATTGTCATTTAAACCTTGCACATAAATTGCACTGTTGTCAGAGTCTTCATCAGGATCTATAGGAAGGCCTAGATCAAGATCTGGTCCTTCATCCATGGGTCCACCAGGCTTATTGAAGCCACCTCGCTCTCCAGCGCCCATTCCACCGCGTCCTCCTCTTCCTCATCCTCTGAGTCAGAAGCAGAATATTCACTTTCACTGTCGCAATGAGACGTTGGCACAATTATTTTTTTTCTTAGACTACGAGGTGGTGTTGACAGAAATTCAGTTTTGTTATTGTTCTCCAGCTGAACTTTCTCGGAAGTAGAGTGCCCCTTGCTTTTCTGAGCGTTTTTCATAATTTCAGGAACATTCTTTGAGTCAACTGGAACAATTTTTCTAGTAAATCTCTCTTGGACCCCAAACCATAAATCACAATGTTGAACCCAAGGCGTAGCTGTAGCATCCATTTATGAAACAACTTTTCATGCTGTTGATTTAACTGTGCAATTTCAGCAGAAAAGGAAGGCGAGAATTTGCTCAATAAGTTTCGTAGAGTTTTCTGGTCCAGTTTAGCTCTCCTCAGCTTCTGCAGGGTTCTGTCAGATGTTAGAACTTTTGAACTACTATGGGCTTCAAAATATTCTTCTACCAAGTCACTTGCTTTGTCTCTTTTCATCTTCTTAGCTGGGGTCCCTTTGGAAACAGGCGCTGCAAGTCCTCTACTCTGAACTCGACTCTTCTGAGAGAGCCCAAGCTCATTTTTTTTTTTCAGAGAAGAAAGCCAAGAGGTCAGAGCCAAGAGCCTCACCCTTCCTGATTCAGGGATCCTCCTCAGCCCAGAGAGCTCCCCGAAAAGGAAGCCTACTTCCTGTGTCTGTCTCTCTAGTCTCCTTGTTCTGGCTTCTGATTGGTTGTAAACCCAATCATGTGACTGCCTCATCACTGCCTGTATGTACTGCCCTCCAGGTCCTTAAAGGTGTAGGCCACCACTGCCACGCACTTGCTATGGCTCTAATAGCTCTGACCCCAGGCAACTTTATTTATACCACCACACTGAACAACCCAATTAAAACATGGGCTAAAGAGCTAAATAGAGAATTCTCAAAAAAGAATCTCAAATGGCTGAAAGACATTTAAGGAAATGCTCAACATCCTTAGTCATCAGAGAAATGCAAATCAAAATGACTCTGAGATACCACCTTACACCTGTCAGAATGGCTATGATCAAAAACATTAATGACAGTCTATGTTGGACAGGATGCGGAGCAAAGGGAACACTCCTCCACTGTGGTGGGAATGCAAACTTGTACAACCACTGTGGAAATCAGTATGGCAGTTTCTCAGAAAATTGGGAATCGATCTACCTCAAGACCCAGCCATACCACTCTTGGGCATATACTCAAGGAATGCTCAATCATACCACAAAGATACATGCTCAGCTGTGTTCATAGCAGCATTATTCATAATAGCCAGAACCTAGAAACAACCTAGATGCCCGTCAACTGAAAAATGGATTTAAAAAAAAATGTAGTACATATACACAATGGAGTACTACTCAGCAGAGAAAAACAATGACAGCATGAAATTTGCAGGCAAATGGATGGATATGGTGATATTTTAATTGTACTGAAATGTGATTTTATTTGTATGTTAATAAATAAAGTTGCCTAGGGGTCAGAGCTAATAGCAAGCCATAGCAGAAGCTGGGCAGTGGTGGTACACGCCTTTAATCCCAGCTCTTGGGAGGCAGAGCTAGGCGGATCTCTGTGTGTTCAAGGATACAGCCAGCATGGAGACACACACCTTTAATCTCAATACCAACCACAGAAGACCTGGAGGTCTGTACAGACAGGCAGTGATGAGGAGGTCATGTGGTTGGGTTTACATCCAATGAGAAGGCAGAAGAGAAAGTCAATAAAAAGGACAAACAGACAGGAAGTAGGTCTCTTGCTGAAGAGGACAGCAGCAGCAGTGAAGGGTAAGGTTTTTAGCTCATAGCTCTGACCTCTTGGGCTTTCATCTCTGCATTGGCTCTGTGTTTCTTATTTAACAAGACAGTTACATCTACAGATGGAACTTGAAAATATCATCCTGAGTGAGGTAACTCAAACCCAGAAAGACAAACATGGTATGTACTCACTCACAAGTGGATTCTAGATATAAAACAAAGAACAATCAGACTGCAACCCACAGAACCAGGGAGGCTAAATAGCAGGGGGCATCCTAGGATGACTGTGGCTTATAATAAGTTTTGGTTTTACCCAATCACTGGGCAAGCTTCAGTGAAACATTTTACTATTAGGATAAGAATTTGTACTGTATCAAGCTGATAATAGAAATAAAATAAAATAATAATAAAAAATTAAAAACTGAAAAAAATAAATAAATGAAAAAGCCCTTTCTAACTGAAAACAAGTGGGTTTCAGATGACTGAAAACTGAATCTGCCTGGACTTACTCTACAAGTGAGTCTGTGTGGATCATGGCAGATCCAATGGCTGGATTTCACATCTGAGAGAAAACCTGTGGTGTCTTTCTTTCTGAATCTAGCTTATTCGGCTAATGTGGTGACCTCAAGTTCCACCCTTTTTCCTGACACAGTCACAGTTGGTTCTTCAGGCTCTGCTTGAAGAAGAGAGCTTGACAAGATGGAGCAACTGAGGACCAGAGACCCCCATCGTCTGGGTGCTTTTCCTCAGGAAAGAAGAGAACCATTTTCCCACACCCTCCTAGCCTCATCTGTGCTTGGCTGTAACGAAAATCTGATTCACCGTGGTTCCAGAGAGACAGGCACAGTAGAGAAGGGAAATTCAGAGTTATATCTCGAAGGAAGAGAAGAGTCTCCTACCCTACTCATAGCTCTTGGATTTGCTTGTGAGCCTGGACTTGGAGGGAAGCATTCTCAGACAATGGTCACTGAGCTGGGTATACCCTCACAAGGAAGAATGAGCAGCTGTCTTCACACTTTGCAGTGTGGATTGATTGAAAGTATCTCTGTTCAAAATAGCCTGGCAAAACCCAACACGCTTTGGCTTAAGCTAGAGAAAAGAATCTGAAGACATCAGGAGTTGAGCATGCCAAACTGAAGCTGCCCTGTGCTTCTCACTCATCCCACAACCCCCACCTGGGTGTGTCTCCCAATAGGGGGTTGTCCTGCCTGTTTGCCTTGAGGACTTGATTGGTAGGCTATGAAGTGGGCTCTGATTGGCAATTCTTTTACCCTGGGACACTGGAGATCATGTCACTGACCTCAGTGGAGATGTTCAGAGTGGGTAACTTGACCCAGGAGGCCTTTGTCATGTGCCAGAAGCAAAGTAGACTTAGTTATCATGATTGGCAACAAGGCAAGCAAGCTTATTTGGTTTCACAAAATGGTACAATGCCCAGAGAGCTTCCACCACAGTTAATTAATTAGAGAGTTCCCAGGAATTAAAGCCACAGGTGGCCCATGTATTCTTCTGACCACAAAATAAAGTCCAGATCAACTGAAATGAGGCTTAGATTAAGAAACTCAAAACAAAGAAGCTTGGACCTATTGTTTAATCCCTTGTGATGGGTTCCTTTAGTGTCTGTTCAGTGTCCTGTCTGTGGCCCTTCAGTCTCACTATGTGTCAAGAAGTCTTGACATCCACATGAAGATAAAGCAATAGCAGTGTGTATGCGTGTGTATATCTGTGTGTGAGTGTGTATCTGTGAGTGTGTGTGTGTGTATCTCTGTGTGTGTAGGTCAGAGGAGAAACTTGGATGTTGATCTTTACCTTGCACCTTGTTTGAGGTAGACTCTCTCTGCTCACTGCTGCTAGCCTGCACGCTTCCAGGATCCCTGTGTATCCACCTCCCATCCCACTGTGGGAGTGCTAGGCTTGAATGGATTCTGGAGATCTGAGCTCAGGTCCTCACACTTGCATGGCAAGCACTTTACCCACTGAGCTGCCGTTCTTCTTCCTCACCTTCCTCCAAAGAGAAACATGCTCAGGGAGACAGGCATGCTCTGACCTTAGGACTACTGAATCCTAGACTCAAGTTACTACAGCAGTTGGGATCCTAGGAGTCCTGAGATCACCATGATCTACCATTTAGAGAGAGGTCCACGAAGCTCTAACACGAATGGGTCAGGGTCAAGATTGCCAATGGTAAACCCATTTTGAAGCTGTTTTTGCAGATGTAAACAGCTGGCCTTTCTGTTAGGGAGAACAGTTAGGCCTTTCTGTCACTGTTTTGCTAGGATATGGAGTGGGTGGGACCATTGCAGTCACTGCTAAAAAGAGCCTAGAACTCCCTAATCCCTCCCTGCTGGGAGCATACGGTGGTTCTGCTGGCCACTGCTTCTGGAAAACTGTCACCTTCATCTACAGTCAAAGGACACTGCAGAGCACCTGTTCCTCTCGCCAGAGCCGGGGCTAGTACAAGTGAGCCCCATCAGCAGGAACGTTTTAGATGGAAGGATACAGAAAACCTCACTAAAGGCCCCCTGGAAGGAGCCAATGGTGGGACCTCCATCAAATACTTAGTACAAAAATGTAATAGAGTCAGGTGTGGGGTGCACACCTGTCATCCCAGGAGGTCAAGGTCATCCGAGGCTATGTAGTGAGACTGAACTAGCCTGGGATTTACAAGCCCTGTCTCACAAATAAAGCAAAAACAATTTTTTTTTTTTTTTTTTTGGTTTTTCGAGACAGGGTTTCTCTGTGTAGCTTTGCGCCTTTCCTGGAACTCGCTTTGGAGACCAGGCTGGCCTCGAACTCACAGAGATCCGCCTGGCTCTGCCTCCCAAGTGCTGGGATTAAAGGCGTGCGCCACCACCGCCCGGCATGCAAAAACAATTTTTAAAAAAAGCAAAATCTGCATTTATTTTTCAAGTTTGTGTGAAGATGACCAGGTAAAGTTATATTCCAGGAAATAAAACAAACACCAACAAATTTAAAAGATGCAGTAATGTACATCAGACTGGAAATTATTAAGAATACATTCAGAATATTTTGCAATGATATGTTTTGTAAAGTTAGAAGTATCTCTTTGGGAATTAACATGTTTCTACTTAACCCACAAGTCAAAGAAAAGTCACGTGGGAATTATGAATATTTTCAAATAATTAAACTGAACATATAAGCTGTCTGTAGTTGTAGGATTCTGTTCAAAGTTCAGGGGGCCAGAGAGATGGCTTAGTGGATAAAGACACTTGTCACCTTTATCCTGACGACCTGAGTTCAATCCTCAGAGTCCACATGGTGGAAGGAGAAAACTGATTCTGTCTTCAGATCTCCGTGTGGGGGCATGTGTGCTGTGGCGTGCATCATGCCCTCTCCTACAATAAGTGTGAAAATTTTTGCTTTAAAAAGCAGTGCTTAGAGGAAAATTGAGAGTATTAAAGTATAGTAGAACAGTATCTATCCACTGACCTTAGCTGTCAACTTACGGAACTATGGAAACAGTAAACTAAACCCAAAGTTGACAGTGAGAAGTAAATAATAAAGAGTGGAATTCAAGGAAATTGACAATAGAAAAAAAAAAAACCACAGAGAATCAATCAAATCCAAAACTTGTTCTTGGAAATACTGATGAAGTCCATAAACTCCTGGCATGGCTGTCAAGACCAGAGAAAACATGGCTATAGGGAGCATCAGCAAGGAAAAACTGTGCACCTTAGATCCCAGCTGCTAAAGCGCCAGGGAACATTTGCGGCAAAATCACATGAATTAGACGAGATGAGACAGTTCATGGGAACCCATGAACTTCCCTAGCTCCTTAAGAGAAA